ATGGAATATGCAAACTTTTAAAACTTGCTTTTGGTAAATTTCCTTATAGTTTCTCATTCATAAAATAAACTCTTTAAAATATCAGTTATTAAAAGATTAAGAAAATATGTAATAAAGAACAATATTAATTATTCTGTTCATAATTTACAAGTGTGTCTTCTGATCTTTGGAAATTTAATGTTGCTGATTGCAATATGCTCCCGAGCATTGCAGTGTGCTTTTACAAATAAATGTTTAAAAACTTTTCTGAAAAGAAAGCTCTGGAAAAAAAGCTCTTATTTTGAAGGAAAAAAAGATTGGCAGAAAATTAACCCACCACGTAGATTTATGAAATGTCAAAAATTAAGTTCGCTTTGAATTTGTTCAGCATTTTCTGACATGGCTTGAAATAATAATGTCCAGAGGACAGATGCTGTTTCCAGCAAAAAACGGGGGCAATGACTGACAAGTTTTGATCTATGAAAGAGAGAGGGCAAGAGAGAGAGAGAGAAAGAGAGAGAGAGAGATTAGGAGGAGAGTCAATAGGCTTCTACTGATTTAGTTCTTAGATCTTCATTTGCACAGCCTTGGCTGCAACAGAGAAGCTACTGAGCAGCAGCAAAGCGGGAGATGCTTGTAAGGCAAAGGGAAGAGTAACAAGGTGAGTCACAAATCTTGAAAGCTCCTGACTTCTTACAGATTGCTCTTGCATGGCATGGGAATTATTTAGTTGATGATTTAAATAGTTGAATAAATTATGTTATTTTTCAGTAGCAGAAAAATGCATGGATTTCAAAACTCCATTTAAAGCTGAATTTTCATATAAATTGAAAAGGATATTGGAAGAGTCGCTTTCTGGTTAGTATTGGTATTATTTGAACGGTATAGGAATTCACATTGCCGATCCTTTATCCTTCCTTTGCCAATTTAAAACTGGTTTGGGGAAGTGGGAGTACAAAGCACTAAAATAGCACATAGAATCCCTGCTGCAGATTCTTCTGATATTTTGTTGCCCCCATCTCAAAGATTGGCTGTTTGTGGAAGTTAGAGTTGTACAGCTGGTCAGTGGAGTGATTGAAAATGAATTGGAAATAATATTTGGTTAGATTTCATGACACAGCACACCAATGAAAGGTTACATTCAAAATGTAAAGGTAAATGTAATTGGTTTTTAAGTATAGTTTTCTCTAATATGAAGGATGAAGATTTAGCTAAAGAGGAACATGAGAGCTTTGGTTAATGCTGAGTTTAAGAATCACAGTGACTGCATTTTATAGTGCATGAAGTCACTTGCTCAAATTTTAGTGAATGCAAGGATACTTAACATTTGTGAGTTGATATGAAGTTTAAAAGAGCAACAGAACTGACAAGACCATCCCTTCTTCCCAAAGGGGGAAAACAGTGATTTTATCCATATCCATATATTTTTAAATTTGCTTGTATTATTATTTTGTTAACATATATGCCAGACATATTACACACAAAACATTTGGAATATGCAATGTTAATTTTACCTGGAGCAAGAAGCCATCTGATCAGGATTGTTAACCATATAAGGCTATGTGAACATTTTTTCCTAATGTTTTCACTTCTTCTTGCAAGGGCCTTTCAGAAGCATCAAAGCAACCTCAGGAACCAACAAGATGTTTAAGGCAGAAGTTTAAAAATCAGGTTTAAAAGCATGCTTTATTTCTTTTAAATTAGGCATTAGGTTAACAAACAATGCTGACCAGTCCTTTAAATCAAATTTAACTGAGGGAAAGGAAGAAGCTAATTTAAAACCTGGAAGCTGCCTATATTGCTTTCTATATTTGTGAAGTTAGATTTTAATCCCTGCTGCATGTTGACCAACAGGCAGACAAATAGAGAAACTACTTAAGCTACATAGGGATATTGGAATGTCAACACTGGTTGCTGGGAGAAAAGACTTACAGTGAAAAAGGCATGCTAAACTTTTAGAACCCTTAAATAAATATCTCTTGCCTCTGGTCTATAAGTTGCAAGTTGGCCACCTGTTTTTCAAAGTGTGCTGAATACTTCATAATCAATGTCAAGAGCATTTTCACAGTTATTTAAAAGCTACATGCCAAGGTTTTAGTTAACACACGTAACACACGTTTTGCTGACTGCATACAGAATACACCATTATTTAGCATTGCAACCTGTGGGCATAGAATGAAATTCAGATCTACATATTTCAAAGATTCCCATTCTTCCCTATGAAACTAGACAAACTCACATGAATACAAAATTGTATTCATAATTAATTCCTTTCCCTGAATATCTGAACAAGATTGATTCATATGTATAGTATCTGAATTGGTAAAGTGTATACCAATTACTACTATATAAAACTGGAAAATAAATTATAGATGCATGTGCAAACATATACACACACAATTATTTAATCAAGTAACAGTCATGGTTTGACCAAATAACTCTGTTTAATCACATAGTATCTAGGGCAGGAAGAGAGGTCTTCTAATCCAACTCCCTGCCCATGGCAAGAGAACTTATATCTTCCCAGACAAATGGTTATCTAATACTTTCATGAAAACCTCCAGCAATGGCACCTACAATTTCAGAAGGCAAGATGTTCCATTGGTTGATTGTTCTCACTGTATGGAAGTTTCTCCTTGGTTTCAGATTGCATCTCTCTTTAATGAGCTTCTACCCGTTGCTTTACCCAGTGATGCAGCCTAGGACTATATTGGCTTTTTTTAAGCAGCTGCAGCACACTGCTGGCTCATGCTTAAGTGGTAGTCCTCTCGGAGACCTAGATCCCTCTTGTAGTTACTACAGTTGAGTCAGATACAATGTATTCTACATCTGTTCATTTGGTTTTTCATGCTTAGATATGTTATTTTTCTCACTACTGCATCTTAGCCAGGGCCGAATTCTCAAGTCTGTCAAGATCCTTCTGAATCTTGAGTCTATGACACCTTATCAGACCTTTGAAAGACAAATGAATACTGGGATAATGATTATGCATTAAATGGCTGCTATATTAAATCTTTTTTTTCAAAAGAAGATATATGTATTTCTCTAGCACATTCAAGTCTTACATTTTCAGATAAATGACTCAGTTTTGATAGTGTATCAAAAGATATCATTTGAAATAATTCTGGAAATAGTTCTCAAATCCTACAAAGAGTTTCATAAGAATGAGGTAACATTGATCTTGCAGTGATTTGGAGCTGCCAAGGAAGTGATCACATTTAAGCTAAAAGCACATAGAATAGAAATTGTTCCACTGATTAATTGTTCTAACTGTCAGAAAATTTCTCCTTAGTTCTAGGTTGTTTCTCTCCTTGATTAGTTTCCACCCATTGCTTCTTGTCCTGCCCTCAGGTGCTTTGGAGAAGCACCTGCTTGACTCCCTCTTCTTTGTGGCAGCTCCTGAGATTTTGGAACAGTGCTATCATGACACCCTAGTCCTTCATGCAGAATTTTGAATTTGTTAATTTTAGCATGTCTTCTAAAACTTACTTGTATTCTGTAATGTTTATGTCAGAATCGTCTAGACAAGCCATTAACAGTGCAACCACATCTGCTCACTTAACAGAATAACAGAGTTGGAAGGGATCTTTGAGATCTTCTAGTTCAACCCCTGCTCAAACAGGAGACCCTACATCCAAATGTCTCCAATTTCATTTTAAAAACTCTTCTTAAAAATGTTGCATCCACAACATTTCTCTGTGGCAGCCCCTCAAATATTGGAAGTCTGTTATCATGTCACCCCAGTCCTTTTAGACTAGACGTACACAATTCCTGCAATTGTTTTAGCTTCCAGCCCCAAAATCATCTCTGCACCCTTTCTAGAGTTTCAACATCTATTTTGTATCATGGTGACCAAATAAGAAATAGATAATACTCAAAATACTTGATAGATATCTACAGAGCAAAGCTTGCAGTGTACAATAATTACTATTCCAGGAGAGAAGAGATACAGAATAGTGATATGACTCAGCTTTAATCTCAATATTCCCTCAACATTGCATAAGCTTCAGGAGATTGTCCACCTGCCCACAGACATTTCTAAATTCTGCATATTAGAATCCATTCAGCTGCCATGGTATTTATTGTATGCTAATCACCATGGTACAAATATGTATTTAGAATTTGCAGAAAGGATTTGGAGAACCTGAAACTGTTAAACATCCAGTTCTGCCCTGCTTGATTAACCTAGAAATATCCCTGATATCTTGATCACATCATGATTCCCAAACTCTCAGAGTTGGTGTTAGGAAAAAGTAGAGAATGTAGAGCATCTGACCTCTTCCAAAGAGCACTGCAAAGTTAATCCTAACATGACTGAAAGACAACAAGACTATTCTGTGGCAATTGCTTTCCCTGATCCATTTTTATTAACCCTGGCAAAATGTGTTTGGTCATATGAAAAAAATGAATGAAATTCACAACTGTTTTTAGCAGGTAGGATCACAGCAGAAATAGATGGCGCTCAGAGGAAATAAAAGTTGGATCTAGGCCCAGAAGTAAAATTGGCTCACAACTGCACTGCACTTTTATTTATATATTTATATTTATTTATTTTATTTCACCAAACATGAATTAGATAACAGATATAAGTATAGACATAATTATGAATACATGAAATGAATGCATAATCATGTCTATACTTACATCTGTTACCCAATTCATGCTTGATGGAATAAAATAAATATAAATAAATAAAAATACATGCAGCGCAGTAGTGAGTCAATTTTACTTTTGGGTCTAGATCCAGTTTTTATTTCCTCTGAGCTCCGTCTATTTCTCTCCTACCTGCTTAAAGTCGTTGTGTATTTCACCTTATTTCTTTCATATGACCAAACACATTTTGCCAGGGTTTCTTTTTTTCTTTGGAATGTCTAAGCAGTTAGTTCCAGATGTATGTGTATATGTATATTTGTATTGAAGGGATAATAACAGAGATTTCAAGTTGTGCCCCAGATGAGATTCAGGATGTTCACTTGAGGAACAAATACATACAACATTGCTTCCAGAATTTCAGTACCTAAATGGGTGATCTAATATATAACTACTTTCAAAAGTGTGAGTCAAAGGATCCTGAAAAGCATAAGAAAAGTAAAACAGGTTCCTTTAATTACTGGTTAAAGAAAAAAAAGCAGAGACAAGGATTTAACAGACAAGACTCATCCTCAAAGGGATGTAGGAACTGTTCTTTCCCAAAGGGATCTTCTTTGTTCATAAATTATTTAGGAGTGACATCGAGAAGGTTAAATTTGTGAATAGTTCAACTTATTCCACATGGTAAAAACAAAAGCCAACAACAAAGTAATCCATATGTATTTTCAAACTCAATTAATTGCCTTAAAGCTTGCGATTATAATTGGTGGAAAGTGATGAACCAGAAAGAAATAATAATGCTTTATTTAGCTCTAACTGACAAAAAATTGAGTTTTTTTAAAAATGTAATTTATTTTTTAAAATATAAATAATACAAACATAGTATATATACCTCTAAGTACAAAAAAAGAAAGAAAAAAGAAAAATGGAGCTTGATCAAGTTGGATATCTCAGTAACAATATTGGTCCCAGTATACAACAGCTATGAAAAAATCAGTTTTTTGTTGAAACATGTCAAAAATAATATTACCTGTGTCTTGAATTGTTTTAATCCTTTTATATATGAGAATTAGCTTAAGAATATCAAAATGACTTTATTACCATCAATATTATTTTACCAATAACCCCTACATTATGTGATTTATATTTAAAATTTATATACGTTTCATAGTTTTTTCCCATTGACTTCACTGCTTCCCTTTTCACCAGTACATTTGTATTCATCAACCAACTTAGGAAACACTCCATAGTTTTAACTATCTATACCCCACAAAACTTTGTACTTTAATATATTTTTTGTCTCCAAGATGCTGACATTTCTAAGCAAACAAATATGGTTACTGATTTTGAACTGTCTCTAGCACCACCTAGTGTCTTTATTTGCTAGATATTCCCAATTCCTTTCTCATTTCAGTACAAATCTATCCAAAATCAGAGACATTAAAAACTAAGTTTTTCTGGCTTATTAAAATATGCTAAAGGTGAAATCCACAAGGTAGCATGAAAACAGTTTATCCATTTATGAGCAGCATTTTTTACAAATCCAATTTCCTATCTCAGTACACAGGGAACAGAGGTGGTATTCAGCAGGTTCTGACCAGTTCTGGAGATTTTAGTGGAAATTTTGAGTAGTTCGGACAACTATTCTGACTGGTCCCACCTACATCTATCCTCTGCCTCCTGAGTCCCAGCTGATCGGGAGGGAATGGAGATTTTACAGTATCCTTCCCCTGCCACACCCACCAAGGCACACCACTCCCACCAAGCCACGCCCATAGAACCAGTAGTAAAAATTTTTGAATCCCACCACTGACAGGGAACTATAATGTCAATAACATTAACTCCCCCACCCCCAATGAATATGAATCATTAGCCCAGACTGGATTTAAAACAATATAGGAAAATAATTGAACATCCTAAAGCAATAGCTCTCAAAATTGGTATGGGTGGAATTTATTTCTAGTGCATTCAGGACTATATCTATAGAGTTTTTGAATTTTGTAAGCTGAGAAATTTCCAGATGTGTGAACTTTGATAATTGAAATTCGCAACCAGCACAGCGCTACTAAAATTTTTAAAAGCTTAAGTACGTAGCTCTGAAAAATGACCAATTATGGATAGGATGTTATAAGCATTTTTGGTTAATGCAGTATGATTCTCTCCCTCTCCCTCCCTCTCTCCCCACCCCTCTCCCTCCACTCTCTTTTCTACCTCAGGATATCTTTTAAAACAGTTTCTTCTAAATGTTGATAGTTAGATATTTCCACTAATAATAATGAGGCATTGATTTGCAGGTTGATTTCACCAAATTGCTGAATTGAAGTTGTCAACAGAAAACAATGGCAAGTTGGAGAGGAGGTAAGGTCCTCATTAGAAGCTTAGACAATTAGTTCTTCCAGGAAAGGATTTATTCACTCAACGTTATTTCAATGGCTTGGACATACACATTTAAGCTCTAGTTAATGTTTCTTATCTGGTCTCATTCAATTTGAAGTAAATGGTTGGAATTCACATGCTTCAAAATATGTGATCTACTAAACAGAGCATTTCTAAAAAAATAAGTCCCCTGATCTCTTGAAATTAAATATATAATCATACATCATTTAAATTTTATACAATGTGACAAAAATAGGTCTAATTTATTTCTTATTTTTGACACACTTTTGGTGGTTCAGAGGTAAAAGGAGTTTTTAATGAATATTTCCCAATATAATGTCACAGTTTTGGAGAGTGCAATCTGTGTAGAGGTAAACATTTGATTAGCTCCAAAAAAAGCTTTGTGTGGGCTTAGTTTCAGAAAATGTTGAGTTCTAATCAGTGGTGGGATTCAAATAATTTAACAACTGGTTCTCTGCCCTAATGACCAGCTGGGTAGGCAGGGCTTGGTGGTCATGTGACTGTGTGGACGTGGCCAACTCAACATCACTCACATCGATGGGCGCTTCGCACTAGCTGTTACAATATAATAAGGGTTAACCGAAGAGGCAGTTTCTGTAAGCAGAGCAATAAAGATTAGGTTAGAAACAACACCAGAATGTTTCCTTCCTGCCTTCCTTACAGGATTAGCCCTGTAAAGTGGAAAAAACCAAAATGAGATTTCTTCCAACAACCAATTCTCCAAACTGCTTTGAAAGTTAACAACCAGTTCTCTTGAAAGGTTCGAACTGGCTGAATCCAACCACTGGTCCTAATGGTAGAAGTGGAAAGAATAGGAGAGGGAATGTCAACAGAGAACCAAAACTGAAAATTTAGGAAAATGTCATATTTTCAAATACAATCTGGGATTCTACATCAGTTACTGCAACAATACATACTGGAAGAGCCAGTTGGTCTGATGGTTAAGATCCAAGACTAGAAGCCAGGAGATCATGAGTTTAAGTCCTGCCTTAGCCATGAAAGACAGCTGGGTGACTTTGGGCCAGTCACTCTCTTTTAGCCCAGCCCACCTCACAGAGTTGTTGTTATTGGGGAAATAGGAGGAAGTAGTGTGTTGGATATCTTGGCTGCCTTGAGTTATTTGTAAAAATAACAAAGATGGGATATAAATAAATAAATAAACATTAATGCAGACTCATATCCATATTGCATTAGAATGGTCTGATTAGTTTTGTATAGAAATTTTTAAAAATCTAGTATAGAATATAATTTATGTATTATGTTATTTCCTTAATGCCAAGCCATTTTGCAATTTGTAGAAATAGATACCTGGATCAAAACTTTTGATTTTTGATTTTGTCCTTTATTACTTTTCAGTTAAATCTTTGAATAAATCTTCCCTCCCTGGTGTGACCATTACACAGTTTGTAGAAGATATTCCTACAGGGTGCAGCACTCCTGACTTTGAGCGGAAACCAATCACTGTAACATTACAGGAAGGTGAGATTTCTTAAGGATTTATTACCTCCATTCTTAAGTTTCTAACTGAATAGCAAGCCTTTTAACCAATTTATTTTAATCAATGGAAAAAGTCCTGGTAAATGCTAACTGCTTTGGTTTGTCCCTGATACCTGATTTAAAGCATGGGGATCTTAAATGCTAGGAATGAAACAAGGTTCATTGTTGGCCTTAAGCTATATCCTTTATTATCTTTTTCACCATTCCGTTCTCTAAAAAAATGATTTATTTTTAATCTGCACAATGGACTTTTAGAACTCAAAATCAATGTTCTGTAGGGATTTTTTAAAAAAAATATTTTAGATTTCTACTTCCCACTGAAAAGCAGCTTACATATTTTTTGTTTCTTCTTTGTCAGGTAAAAATGCCATTTTCAGAGCTGTGGTCAAAGGTGAACCAAAACCAAAGGTTTTATGGAAGTGCAATAATAGGGAAATGGATGATTCTCAGAAATACCAAATATCTTTTAATCCTGCCACAAATGAATTTATCCTGCAGGTAAGCTTTAGCATATAATTTTAAAAATGGATGGATAGATGGATGGACGGACAGATAGATACAGTAAATTTCCCAAGATTGGCAGTTCTACCTTTTTATTCAGGAAACAGAAGAGTGAGAAATATATTATACCTATTTAAGAAACTGTAATTTTATTCATTGCACTGATTTCATTTTATTTTCCCTTTTAAGATAAACGAAATCACTTCAGATGATGCTGATATGTACCGTTGTATTGCTGTGAATGAGTATGGGGAAGCGACCTGTACTGCTGGTCTCAAAATTATAGAGGGTAATGAAGTCGTGTTCACATGTGGCAATCTGCCTGAACAATCTATCTGTGGCATGCAATTTTGGGGCTGAAATCAGGGGCAGAAAAAGTATGCATGTGTATTTGTGTCAAAAAAAAACCCCCCACCAAAGATGTGGTCATGATCTTATGACCAAAGCCTGCAGCTTTTTTTACATTGCCTAGCATCACACATTCCTATTCATAAACTAAAGTCACAATTTAACATCCTTGTAAGTTGTCTTAGAAAAAGCTGTTTCCCATAAATGTTCAGATGCTTTAATACCAGTCATGTACATTTGCCTCACTGAAGACTGTATAAGTGCTAACTATAATCACTATAAATTCTGCATGGCTTGATTGTGTTGTGAGTATTCCTACCATGGTATTGTTAATTAAGTATTCTCGTTCTGTCTCACCATCTCTTCCTTTTCTTTTATCCCTTATCAAAATGGATCACTAGACTTCAAGAAGAAAACACTGCTTCCTATGACACAACAGGCAGGTGAGTAACCATACCAGTGTGAAATTCAATTTTTTTTACTGCCGATTCTGTGGGCATGGTTTGGTGATGGTGGTCCTGTGACTGAGTGGGCATGGCCAACTTGATGTCATTCGTGGTCACGCCCACTCAGTCACATGCCCCCATCACCAGGCCACACCCACTGAACCCGGTAGGAAAAAAAATGTGTGTATGAGTCCATTCACAGCAGAGCTACTGCTCCCTTCATGGTCCCCCCCGGCCCCCTCCCTCCTGGTGACTATCTTAAAGGGACAGGCTGCAGCAGCTCTGCTGTGAACAGAGGGAGGAATGTTCGGATTGTCTCTGCTGCATTTAACTTTGAATTCTGTGGCAGAGACAATCCAAACGTTTCTCCCTCTGTTCACAGCAGAGCTGCTACTCTCTTTATGGTTCCCCCCGGCCCCCTCCCTCCCTGGGTCTACCTTAAAGGGACAGGCTGCAGCAGCTCTGATGTGAATGGAGGGAGAAACATTTGGATTGGGTGGATAGGTTGAGCGGCTGGAAGTAGTAAATAGCGACAGGGCGAGCAGGCGGGTGTGGGTGGGGCCACCTGGGATTTTTGCCACCAGTTCAGACAACTGAAGCCAATCATCCCTGCCAGTTTGGCTGAACCGGGCTGAACCGGGAGGATTTCACCCCTGAGCCATACATGTTATTTAAAAAAATCATAATAGTGGTAATCCAGAAGGTCAACCCAGCTCTTCAGTGACTGCTTGACAATTTTGAATCACTTTAAAGATTTAGTAAGTTTTAAATTATGAGCTGTTATGTACCCTTTAAATATGATTTTGAACAAGCACCTTTTTTTACTTCATGCAAACAGCATGTCTCTGCTGTTCATTAAAGCAATCTGAGTTCTTGCAGATTTTCATGATAGCATTTTTCATGAAAAATGCTGTTACTTTAAAAGAGTGGTAATGCAACTCTTTAAGAAGCTGCTATTGATTTTAGACTAGTATTTTTTAAAAAATTGGCAGCTTTAAGATGTGTGGATTTCAACTCCCAGAAGTTGAATATGCTAGCTGGGAAATTCTGGGAATTGAAGTTCACACATCTTAAATTTGCCAAGTTTAAAAAATATATTTTAGATTCACATGGAGCTATAAAGCATTTCTTCTAAATCATTTTTGAAGCTTACACATTTCCTGTGGTGTAAGCTCAGTTCTCACAATAGTGTTTAAAATCTTTTATAGATCTAAAGAAAGAGCTTCAGGACTTCAGAAAAACATTAAAGAAACGGTGAGCTTTGCAACAATGGCTTATGTTAAATAGCTTTGTTATGCATTGGCAATAATAATCATAATAGTAGATACAGTACTAATATTAGTAGTAGAAATAATGGCAGACAGTTCAGATTCCAGTAAACTAAATTGTTGTTTTGTTGTTCTGCTTCTCATAGTAATAAAGAACTGTCTTCAATAAAGAATTCTTCAGTAATATATCTTCTATATAATACATCTATCAACAATTGGACATAATCAACAATTATTTACAGTTAACCCTTTCTCTTAAATATTGACTTTCTTTATGTCAGATGATTCTGTCCCATAAAATATACCTGCAAGGATACCTACATTTATTACCTATTTAAACTGTGTATGGATAGATGTTCAATATTTTTGATGAGGTTTTCTTTATTAACAATACCAACCAATAGAAAACCCATCACTTGCCCAAGTTAGGTTTTCAGTACTGAGTTAGCTTCGCTTCTAACAATAAATTGCAATTGATATGTCTTATACAGAAGATGACTGCTATTATAAACTGAACAGTATAAATTTTTGAAAAGTATATGAAATTTCACTATTGTAATGATAAAAAGTAGCCCTCCAAGCTTTCCCCTCATATGCTTCTTCCACAATTACATGACACATTTTGAGTGTTTTGCAATTCATGAAGACTCTGGGTTTATCTTTTGGGAATTAACCTGTAGAACACCTTCAGTTGTTCCAAAGAAAAAAATGGACATGGACCAGATTGCACAAATATTGCTCAATGCAGAGAAGAAAGATTATGAGAAGATTTGCATGCAGTATGGAGTTGTTGATTTCCGCGGGATGCTGAGAAAACTTCAGGAAATGAAGAAGGCGAGAGAGGATAAGCAGGATCAAGTAAGACCATCTTGCTTCATATCCTGTGATTTGATTAAATAAATATTCAATAAGTTGTCATTGACATGTTAATTAAAATATCAACAGAATGCAAATTTTCATTGCATTTTAAGGACGAAGTAACCACTAATCATTAAAAAGTATCCTGTCACAAGTCTTGAGTTTATTTCCATGGTATATTCCACTGAGAAATAATTGTCTTATCACATGACGGCTAACTTTTTTGTCATTGTGTGCCAAAAGTGCGTGTGCATGCTGTGCACTCATAATGCAATTGGTGTGTGACCCCCATGCTCTCCCCACCCCCACACATGTGTGCATGACCCCCCTGCAAACCCCTATGTGCACCCCACCCCCGTGCATGCACAGCAGAGACCCAAAATCCAGCTGGCCAGCAGAAGACATGCACACATGTGCAGTGGAGCTGAGCTGGGGTGATGGCTCACATGCCCGCAGAGAGGGCTCTACATGCCACCTGTGGCATGCGTGCCCCAGGTTCACAATCACGGTCTTAGCATCTTCAAATGGAGTAAAAGATCTTTGACAATAATTAATTTGTTCTATTTTGCTAGTGTGAATATTGTATATAAAATGTTACAATATCTTAAATGATTTACCTCTCTCTTGTTCTTACAGTTTGTATGCAGTATTGCAAATCTGAAGCATCTGAAAGTCAATAAAGAGCAAAGAAATGCTACATTTGGCCTAGAGATGGAACTGAAAAACCCAGAGAGCAGAATCTGCCTCTACAAAGTAAGGAAAAATAGTGATTTGGCTAACTCGACACGTGAGCTTTATGAGAGAATGCCATGACTGAACTGGAGCTAAACAGCTGTGGAAACAAGCAGATTAACACTTCATTCAACAGTAGCAATTTTATCTCAGGAACAACATTGCCAGTATGGTTTTTATATATAGACTTCCTTCGTGGTAGCATATAAAACACAAATATTAGGAAAACAGTTTTAAAAAAAACAAATAGAGGTGATAAGAAAAGAGATAAATGAGCAGAAGAAAGAAGAAAGAAGAGAAAGAGGAAAGTAAAATGATCCAGGTTAGATGTTACAAGAAGAATACAATTCAGCAGAGCAGCAATCCTTCCAAATGCTTGGATAATAGTCCTCATGGGTGTAATAGTAATCTGATTCTTGGGTCTTTTGAACTCTCATGCATTCATTTCTTTTCAATAGCAGTCTTATGTTCTTCTTAGCAATTTAAATTGACCACTATTCATCCCTAAACAAGTTATTGTTTTACAAGGAAAATTCATCTGGTAGATTTGACCAGTTCAGATATGGCTAATAACAAATTAGTGCTTACTGTCAGAGTTCCTAGTAATACACCCAACAGAATCAAAACTCCAAGGCAGGCATATTCCTCAAAGTATAGATTTATTAGGCATGTCATATTAGCACATCTGGGGAAGCCCAATTCTAAAACCCCCCCTTGGGTTTCCCCTAGTTAAAAGTAATTTTTTCTTTCCCCTGCCCATGCAGTTCATCCCATGGTCCAATCAGGTCACAGTCAAAGGGTCACTTGTTCTCAGATCCCACCTCCTTGTACCTGGTGGGAAAATCCTTGGTTCTCAGAGGAAATAATTTTATTTTGGCTACAATCCCCCCAGCTATCTCTACCTCCCCCCTCCCATTCCCACAGCTCGACACATCTTTGCTGTGGCAGCCCTGAAGGAGCCAGAGGAAAATGGCTCCAGGGCTGGCACCTACTATGTTTTTCTTAAAGTAACCATAATTCAAATCTTAAAGTGAATCCATATTTATTTTACAAGGATGTAGCTTTGCCTGTTTGTTCTCTCATCTAGGATGGTCAGAAGATCAATTTTGGAGTTAATGATGACAACTTAAAGCACCGCCTACAGCAAGAGGGCAAAAACTATCATTTTACGATAAATGATCTGCAGTCAGACGATGCTGGCATTTACCAGGTCAAAGTAGAAGATGTAGATATCTTCTCCACTGAACTGGAAGCAGAAAGTAAGGCTTCTCAACCAAAGTCTCCGCATGGGTGTGCATTTGTTTCATAACAAATGAAATATCTGACAAACTAGGATGAATTCATTTCATTTGTTACTAGTGAAGAAATAAATGCTAAAAATGTAGATAAGTTTGAAACACTATATTCATTTGTTGCTCATGTTTAGCATTCATTTTCTCAGACTGAAATTATAATAGATGAGAAATAAGAAGGAATAGATCATATTTTAATTATGACATGGAGTATCTAGAAAGAGCAGAAGAACCAGGTACTTTGAAACTGTCAGACAATGGTAGAAGACAGGCTTTTTGTTCTGTTCTTGTTTTGTGTTTAAATCAGCTTCTAATAAATATATAAAACAATCAAATAGTCTTGTGAGTCAGGCTTTGTTCCTGATTTCATGAACATTTTCTTTTTTTTGCAAGAAAACAATTTGCACTTGCCATTTCTGCTTTCTATAACTTTTATATACAATTTCAATAAACTTTTCAGTCTAGCTAGACCCTTATGGTTTTCTGGCATTCAACCATTCAAATCCTTACCTGTTTTAACTTTTTCAATCAGCCACAGTTGGATTCCAGAGAGCTCACTAAAAGTACAGAATAACATTGCTTAAAGTCAAAGATTCTTCAAATCTTACTTGCACTGCTCTTTATATTTCCAAAGCACTTTTTTTCTGGAACAGCTATTGGTAAATATCCTGTAATATCTGCCCTTCAGTATAACTAAGAAGCTAGCAAAACTTCAAAGCATATAAAAAAGCAGTGGCATTTTCATATTAAAAATCATTTTCATATTCCTTAGATTTATCAATTCCTCCTCCTCTCCTCTTTTATGTTCATATCATAAATGTAGGAAAAAATAATGCCGAATTGTGAAATTGCTACTACTTCTATGTTCCCATTCAATCACCTCCAATATTTGGAGACTGCCTGCACAAATCCCTATAGGTTTCTTGGTAATGTTTTTCGGAAGTGGTTTACCATTGCCTCCTTCCTAGAGCTGAGAGAGAGAGTGACTGGTCCAAGATCATCCAGCTTTGTGCTTAAGGCAGGCCTAGACCTATGTGACCACTACAACAAACTGCCTCTCAGGATCACATATTATATTATATTAAGTGTGCAGTTTGCTTAGCACAACCGAAGAAACCCTGCGTTTTCCCAACTTTATTATGCATAGTTTAAAAAAGTAATCTTAAAGACAGATTTTCCACCTTTCCCCCCTTAAAATTTGCCATGTTTCACATTGTAGTTGGTGGATAGAAAATATAGTTGTCTAGATTTAAACATTCAACCCTGTTTTGCACTGAAAGCAGAAAACAAGATCATGAACAATAATTATTAGAATAATAATGAAAATGAATGTGATTTTAACAAATGAATGATATGAATGATAATTTAATGCGAGAACAAATAGAAAACTGATTTTACACAACTCTAGACTCATCTATAATCAAGCGTATGTGATCTTGTGTATGTAACCAGGAAATAAATCCCACTCTCTTTAATGCCAGGATTATAGTAAGCATAATATTGTAGTATGTCTGGCATTAAAGTGATCAATTAAAAGATTCAAGCCAAGGATTTATAGTATTCTTATATATTAGCTCCTTAAGTAATATATTATGAAAAAATGCCAGATTAATAAATCATTTGAACATGGAATAAACATGCATTTTCAAAGTACATAATTATAGATGCCAAGATGTATAATTCACTATGTACAAAATGAACATTGAAATGCCTCAATAAGTGAAATAACCCTCAATCTCATAAATGAATCCAACATTTACAGAAAGCTTTTTGTGTAAATTGGGAGCTAAAATTAGGACAGAAAAGACTGGTTTCAGGTAGTTTCTTCTTACATCGATGTGGATATTTTTCTCAAAATGTGAGTTTAAAGCCTTTTTATACATTTTAATATATTGTGAAGTTGAAATTTGAGTAATTTACCTTTTTAATATAATATTTGTAGGATTTCAAAATATGTTTCCCATTTTAAATATAAAAATGAAACAAAATAATATAATTTAAAACATTTTTAATTGTTTGAGTGCTGGAAATCCTGATTGTAGGTGAACTGGATTGTAAAAATACTTTTGAAATAATGAATGTATGCTGATAGTTTCTTACTAACATTGTCAAGAAGACATTTTATCACCAAATTTTAGTTGAGAAAACCTACATTATAAATCTGATTATTCTCAGCTAAGTTTGAAAAGTAGATAGGTAACCTTTATTCATTGGTAAATGAAATTGATATTTGCCACACTGTTTCCACCTATAGGTTTCTTCTGCCCCACATTTTGAATTTGTTGTTTGTCTATTTCCAATTAATTATTTCAGCCATTCCTGTAAACTGTTGCTCTCTACTTAGTGAGAATGAAGTGCCACTAGAAAGAAATGCTATTTTCAGTGCACCTTCTACGAAGCCGAGTAACTCATTTAGAATTAAATGAAAAAAATATGATATTTCAATTTTGAATGATGGCCTTATTTACCATATAGGCATTAAAAACATCCAGTCCTCTGACAAAGAGACTTACACCATTGATACTGGAAGCTGTTCTTCAAGTACTTGGCTTGAAGTCAAATGTGAGTGATGATCTAATCTTGATTTCTTACAACATAACCCCTTTCCCTTCTAAAAACATCTAACAGTGCTATATTCAAGATCTCATTGAGAAATGCCTAATTATGGTTTGCAAAGAGATTTAAATGATAAAATACTGGAATAAGATTTAAGATTTCTTAATCATTAATGACATCTTCCAGTTACTCTAAACCAGGGGTAGTCAATCTTTTTATACCTACCGCCCACTTTTGTATCTCTGTTAGTAATAAAATTTTCTAACCGCCGACCGGTTCCACAGTAATGGTGATTTATAAAATAGGGAAGTAACTTTACTTTATAAAATTTATAAAGCAGAGTTACAGCAAACTCCTACCACCCACCATGAAAGCTGGAACGCCCACTAGTGGGCGGTAGGGACCAGGTTGACTCCCACTGCTCTAAACAGTTTGCTTAGGAATTGTTGTCCAGTGTGCTTTGCAAACATCATTAGTGTACTGGTCTTAAATATTTTTTTTCTTTGAAGGATTTCAAAGAATATGTTTCTAAAAACATAATAATAATTTGCTTGGTATAGTGCAATGTTTTCAGCAGTACTGGAATCATTATATACCCCTAAACTATCTGAATGTGGAAACTGTATTATAAAACTGATAACTGTGATCATTGTTAAATCAATATTAATTAATGTAGATCATTCATATAACATAGAAGCTATAATGCCTTGCAATTTGAAAACCTGTGTTTATAATACTAGTTATTTTGCTATTATAACTACTGTTCATAAATGAGATGTTTATGAATGATAAATTGGCTATAATTTCATTTTCTGTTTTGTTTTTAAAAAAACAGCAATTCTTTTATACTACTGATCATAATATGGCATTAAAAGGCTCATCCAGTATAACAGTGCAAAACTAGGAGGACTGATGTTTATTTAATTAAGATGTTTGATTCATTAAATTGAATTATTTTGCATTAAATTACAAGAAATGAATGGCTTTGCCATTTCCATTTAACCATCAGTATATTTGTAATACAGCTTTTAAAGAAAAGAGAAAGCAATCTGAAGAGGACAGTAGTGATAAAGCTGGACAATGGAGCAAACCATTAGATGAAGAGCATGCTAAGAAACGTCATCAAGGAGAAAGGCAGAAAGATCAAGATTTCTTTGCACACTTCAGCATGAGCAAAGATGCCCAATATGGGAATGGCCAAGATAGCAATGCAGAGTTTTATAACAGCCTGGAAAAAGATGGATCTTTGAGAAGTGATGAGAAGATAGGCTTTGATCAGAATGCAGTGCTAGGTGGAAATATCAAAGGAATAGGTAGTTTCACTGACAAGAACTCCCAATATGGGAAAAATGCAATGTTAGTTTTCAACACTGGACCTGGATGGCAAAATTCAGAAGGACAAGCTTCCATGCTTAATGGAGAAGATCCTGCATACAGATTTAACAGAGGATCAGTTGGGGGTTTCCAAGATTCCATATTAGGCCCTGCAGAGGTCAATAGCAATCAATACATTGTGGGATACAATGGTGGCTCTGGACTTGGATTTGACATAACAGAAAAGATAGAAGGATTTTATGGCAAGGAGGTTACATTGGGTGATTCCCATCAATCGGGAGTCATTTTTGACAGCAATGGAAGTCTCTGTATTAAAGATGGTGGGTTAAGTGGTGCAGGGATGCTTTATTTCAAGGATAATAAACTCTCAGAAGTAGGAGACAGAAGTAAACTTTATAGAGATGATTGCCTAGCAGCTGAGTTTGATGTAACAGAAGGTGATAAAGGAGTTGCAGGGAAATTTTATGAGAAAGATAATCATTTAGAGGCAGTCAGAGATCTTCAACCTCAGTTTGGTGACACGAAAAGTGGTTGTGGCAATACGGCAGGTGGAATTGGTGATGGTGGGACAATGAATGAGATTTGTGTCAATGATGTAGTGTTGGCTGAATCTGAAGTGGTGGATAGTTTTCCTAGTCCTGGAGGGTTAGTGGTGTACTGTGGGACAAAAGGAATGTCATCCGAATCAAGCACTGGTAGACATAATGATGCTGAAAGACTAAGAGTGCTGCATAGCAAGGATAGTATGATAGTTGATGCTGGTGCTTGCATAAATGGCAAGAAGGATGTACTAAAAGGAGCTGTTAGACCTGATGGTACTGTGGGCATAGATGGATATTATAATATGGATGGTGTGCTGCAAGGAATGAGTGGTTGTAATCTTGCTAACAACATGGATGGACTATACAATAAGAATGATATATTAAGAGGCACAGGTACTATTGGACAAGATAGGGCCATGAGCGTAAGCAGTCTTTATTGCAAACATTCTACACTTGATGGTGCTGTTGTTGGAGGACCTTATACTATTAGAATCATCAATGAACACCATGGCAAAGAAGTTGAAATAAATGGAGCTGATGCTAGGGGCATAGGTGGACTTTATGATTGGAAACTAGGAAACTATGGTAAGCTAGGGAGAACAGAAGGTACTAGTGGACACTGTGGCAAGGATGGCATGCTAGGTGAAACAGACACTAATATAGCTGGTAGTGCTGGTGGAATAGATACACTGTATGGTAAAGATGTCCTGCTAGATAAAATTGGAGCCAGTGAATATGGTAATACTGTGAATATCGCTGGACTCAATGACAAGAATGGCATACCAAATAAAGCAAGCAGTTGTGGAGCTGATAGTTCTACTGGGAATGATATGCTGTATTGCAAAAGTTTTATTGATGCTAAGGACACTGGTAGATTCCATGGAAAGGAAGCTATACAAAATAAAGCAGATACTGCTGAACTCCCTGGCCAGAATATTATGCCATGTGGATTTTATTCAGATGGTGGTGGTGTTAGGGAAATAGATAGGCTTTATGTGAAAGGTGGCATATTGGGGAAAGTAGGTGCTAGTGGAGGAATCTTTGACAAGAATAGCATGATAATTGGTACTGTTGATAATAAACTTAGTAATGGTGAAAGATTAGCTAGCAAAGCTAATGTTATTGGAGAAACAGCTAGAATTTATGATAAGAATGGAATGTCAGATGGACTTGTTACTCTTAAAGGAGTTTCTAGGCTGTATGATAAAGATGGTGTGCTAAGTGGAATTGGTGCTAGTGGACCCATTGGAGCTGGAAGCACTGCTGTATTTTATAGCAGGAATAGCATGCCAAATGATACAAGTACTGCTGGATTTAGAATGGGTGATTCATCAGATGGAGTATGTGCTGGGAATAAACTCAATGACAAGGGTGATATACCTGGTGTCACAGGCAGGAGAGAAATTGATTCTAAAGACATGGGCATATCTTATGATAAGGATGGCATACCAAATAGAACACACACTATTGGTTATCATGGCTCAGTAATACATAGTCTATATGGCAAAGATGGTATCCAGAGCATATCATTAAGTGCAGGCACTAATAAATCTGGTGGCATTGATAATATAGATGGAAACTTTGGCAAAGACAAAATGCCAAATGTAGGAGACATTTATGAACTTGGTGATGTTGGCAGAGTAGATGGACATAATATTTTATGTAGAGCAGGTCCAACTGGATATGTCATTATTGGTAGAATTTATGACAAAGACAGTCTATTTAATCAATTTGGAGCTGGGAATATTGAGGGTGCAGGTGAATCTATTTGCAAAGCAGGTGGAAAAGGCACTGGACTCTGTGAAAGAAATGATATCTCAAAAAGACAGGTCTTGGGTAAACTTGATGGTGCTAGTAATGTAAGTGGACTTTATGGAAAAAATTGTTACTTCATTGGAAATAGTGTAGCTGGAGGATTAGATGGGCTTTATGGAAAGAATGGAATGCCAGATAGTAGAAGTATTAATGGTATAATGGGAATAAATAGGCAATATGGGAAGGATAGTAGCACAATTGCTGGTGAGGTGGGATTTAATAATGAAATAAACTTCAATTATCACTCCAATGAAGATGTTGTACACTGTGGAGATAGTATAGGAGTTAGAGATGCTAATAGATCACTACATGAGAAAAAGTCAGACATAGTTGGCAAAGAGTTCCTGGGTTATGACCAGGCTTCTGGCCTTTATGATGCTGTATCTCATGCTGGTGACAGAAGAAGGCAGCTCTGTGATTTAGAGGCCAATGGATCTACACCAGCTGAACTTTCAAGGAAATGGAGAGGAGAAAAACTGCTTGAAGATGACTTGAGAGGTATTTATATATTTATGAATGAGTTCTTCTTAAAAGTGTGTTTTAATATGCATTTGTAAGACGTGTGTAATTTTTTTTTAAAAAATTCCATTTTAAAATGAGTGTTTCTGTCTTTTGGCTATTCAGAACCACTTTGCCATTTGCATCAAGGTTTATTTGATGTCCATGCTCAGAAAGGAAAACCAACTGAGTTGTGTTGTCGTCTCAACAATGATCAGGTCAAGGGAACTTGGTTTAAAGATGGAGTGAAGGTATGAGGTTGTTAACTTGTGATAGATGGAGAATTCCTTTTTTCACATACATTGTAGCCAATGAAATTTTACTTGGGAATCAAATTGAGAGTACCGGTGACAATGAACAAGTATACTATCATAGTAATACATAATAATTTTTTAAAAGTAAAATAAAACTAATCCATTTATTAATTCAATTTATATATCTGCTTATTTGTATTTGTATTTGTATTTG